CATGTCAGCATCAAAGGCTATTTGCATGACAAAAACAATTTAGTTAGGGGAGGGAAAAACAGTCTAGTGACTTGATGGTTGGTGCAATGTTGTTAGAAGGATATATCTCTTAAAATCGAGACCTTATTTTAAACATCTGCATAAACATACGCATAAATTAGTGTTTTACATTTTAAGAGTCATGTTATCTGCAAAAATGTAAGTTAAAACGTGTTTGTTCACACTCCGGTGTACTATATGTAATGTCTGTATGTGTAAATCGCCCGTTTTCCAAGTGTACGTTTTTGAAATAATTATCAGACTTCATAATTGCAAATGCAACTGAAAGTTCCACCTGCTATTCATATTTAATGCTGTTCAATTTTCAATCATTACGCAAAGTTGTATGTTGAGCGGTGCACGCGTGATGTAATGCTACTGCTAACCAGATCAAACTGGCCGTGTGACGCTGAACTTTACACTCTAATTGTCATCCTATTGGCATCGGCCGAGGGCGTCAGGAGATTGGTGCTGCTCGCCGGGCTCCGCAAAAACAACTCCAAATATGTTCAAAGGAAGACTTAACGGTGAAAAACACTCCAGTAAGGTCTATTGGCACACAAAGAGCGTGTAACCTACATTCCTCGCTCAGATGGACTCCTTTGTTAGAGTCTGGTTCGTTAGAAAACCCTAATTCGACATATTTCGCTAAACAAAAAATATATATTTGTTAAAAAGGCTTAATGGAATGAATAATTCCAGTGCCCTAAAATCTGACACCAGACACAGTTTTCAAATACCGCTGAAATGAAACTTAACCTCGCAGTTTGCCTTATACAGACAGTCGCTGCAACTATAGGATGAATTCACAACAACAAACGACACGTGTTTCCTCTGTCTGCCGCGGCTGAGAGCAACTTACACACAGGATCGTCCATTTTCAAACTTCTTCCCAGGCGGATGGATGGGGGAACTGTGTTTTCTATAAGCTGAGCAACTGACTGAAATCAACAGAAAAGTGTAAACTGTTATTTGGTTTATTTTTTATCATCATCGTATATGATGATAAAAACGACATCAACAAAAACCGCGAAAATTGTTGCACAGTTTTGTTGTAAAATTGTTTAAAGTTTACAATGCGAGTAAAATGCTGACATAAAGCGTTTAAATAGACTCGCAATCTGGCATATTAGTATATAACATTACGTTTAATAAAAACTTAAAGGGTTTTACCTCAAGTCCAAGGGTATTAAGCATCTCTCTTTTCTCTTTGTCACCCGGTCCAATGTGTCTTTCAGAAAAATCATCGTGTCTCGGCAGGATTCGTTCAATCTTTCTAGACCACAAAACTTGTGAGGTGCCCATACAGCGCACATTTGCAGACACATCTGCGGTTAAACGTTGAAGTTTCTTAAAAACATCCCCTTTACTGCTGAAATTCCTGTACGGCACGCGAGCGTTCATCGACCTGCTGATGACAACACGCCAGGATTTAGCGCAGCTCTGCATGTTCTTCACTTGAGATTGACGAAAATTGTACGGGAGAATCTTTCAGCCAGCCTCCACACCGTGTAACCCACTAAATGTCTGTGAAATTCCTTAAAAGTGTCTATTTTATACGCCTCCTCGTTGCACAGGGAGCAGCCAATCGATAAGGAAACTCTCTCTGACGCAGAGGCAAGCCCTACTCGCTCAGGGTCCGCCGTAATAACTCGCTCTGAATGTGCTGTGGGGAGTTTGCAGTACACGGTTTAGAGCTTCATTAGTCACACACTTGGTATCTGCTCGTTATATGCTTTCTATGTTTTTACATGTTTTGTAGTCGCGTTCTTGAACGCCCAGTGAAATGCTGAGACAATCGTGAAGCAATCATACAACTGAATGGAGTGAAAATGAAGGGGCTTCTCCACACCTGCATGGGGAATCCTCTGCAGATCCATTAAAAAGCATGGTTCTCTGGGGGAATATTCAAGATGAAGCCAAGTTCTTGTCAAGTTACTCCATAAGGAAAATGCATCATATAGCCTATATATATATATATATATATACTGTGTGTGTATATATATATATATATATATATATATATATATCTCAACTATGTTATAAAATATATAACAAAATGATTTGATATACCATTTTGCTTTATGCAATATGTGTGTGAAAATTCCATAAACTGGTTTTCCCATTAAGCAGAATGTTATCTATACACTGTATCTAATTTGCATATTAACTATATATATATATATATATATATATATATATACTTCATACTGAAGTTCCCTACATACACAATAGGACATCTAAGGCACATAGGATTGTGGATGGAGATGCTTTCTCGAGTGTGGGGAATACATCTATCTATCTGTCTGTCTTTCTGTCTGTCTGCCTTTCTGTCTGTTGTGTGTGTAAAAAGTGTTTCCATTCTTCTTCTGTTTGAGAGGATTGTTTACTCATAACTTGGTTGGCACTCTCAGATTCCATTTAGGAAATAAGTACACAGCTGTGACATACTGAGTATCTGTCTATCTATGCACGTCTGGAATCCAGAAACACATTTTACTCTGAAATTCAAATAAGTCGGCCATTCTGTACATATTTATAATAGGCTATCTCTTCTACTCACACACATTAGCCTACTAGAACAGTTCTGGGCTGGTGATGGATCTCGTTTGGCTATTTTGTGATGGAAACCCACAGCTGTTTTACCAGTTTGTGAACATGCCATTTGCATTTCTTTTTTATTGTTTAGCCAGGCAAGGACATCTCTCAGTAATCAACAGGTACAGTATGACAACATAATCCTTGTGTCCGTTTTCTTAGATCACTTATGAAATTAAATTTGTCTCCACTTGTAAGGTATGTCTATTTGACTCTGGGAGGATTCATCTTTGCTATTGTAACAGTGGGTCCATACAGCTTATTGCTGTTCTTCAGTGCCGTCCTTCTCCTGCTGCTGATATATTGTCTACAGCCATCCCATATTCATCAGTGGATGTTGGGACTGCAGATGTGTTGGCAAACCTTCTGGCACTTGTACATCCAGTACCAGTTATACTGGCTTCAAGAGACACCAGACTCCAGGTATTTCTCCAAAATTATGAACTGTATCAAAAAATTAAATTTGATCCTATTGTGAGCTCTCGTTTTATTCCTAACAGGCTATTACTGGCCATATCTGCTCTCATGTTGATGACACAGAGGGTTTCTTCTCTATCACTTGATCTGCAGGAGGGAACAGTCACTAGTCCCTTTCAAAACAGCAGTCAGGATCTATCTGTCCTTATACCGTTTCTAAGCTACTCACTTAATTTTCCTGCACTTCTTGGAGGACCACTTTGCAGTTTTAACACTTTTGTGCAGTCTGTTAGGCAAATGAGTGTGACTCCACCTTTGTCTTCATATTTAAGGAGACTTACTTCAAAGCTATTGCAAGTTTTAGTTTTGGTGTGGATTAAATATCCTCTCAAGGAGCTCTTAAAATCAATCACATTTAGAGTAAACAGCCCTTGCGTTTGTCAAAACATAATATGGATCTGGATCCTGTCGCTGCTACTTAAGATGAATTATTATGCACACTGGAAGGTCAGTGAGTGTGTTAACAATGCTGCAGGCATAGGTTTCCATGGGTACAGTCACAGTGGGAAAAAATCATGGGATGGGTTTTCTGATGGCAGTCCATGGGTGACTGAAGCGTTGAGTCGTCCTTCAGCATTTGCGCGCCAGTGGAACAGAACCACGGCAGTGTGGCTTCGAAGAATGGTCTTCAAAAGATCCAACAGATCTCCACTGTTTATGACCTTTTTGTTCTCAGCGTGGTGGCATGGCCTTCATCCAGGTCAGATTCTGGGCTTTCTCATCTGGGCCGTCACCGTGCAGGGGGACTATAAAATACATCACTTCTTGCATCCAATGCTTACCTCCAAGTGGAGGAAATGGCTGTATGTGTATATAAACTGGGCTTTTACTCAACTGACCATTTCTTGTGTTGTTGTCTGTGTGGAGCTCCAGAGCTTAGAGTCAGTGAAACTGCTCTGGTCTTCATATATCGCTGTGCTTCCACTACTGAGTGTTCTGATAATTATAATCCTGTGAGAAATTCACAGATGCAGTGTAAATTATACAAATGTAAAACAAATGTCTTCAAATATCTCATTAAATATAGTAAACATGAAAGCTTTACCAAGCTTGCTAGACCAGCAAGAACATTTGAGCTTATACCATATATTTAATGTGCTCTGTGTGCATCAGTCTATATGTTTATATAAATAAAAGCCTAAATTAAATCTGTTCATCATTTGACGTTGTTGTTTCTTTTCATAAGCCTTTAATTAAACTGCTCGATTCGTATGGATTACTTTTAAAATGTCTTTTTTGATGAGTAAAAGTTTTGGTTGTGTGAACTTTTAATGGATTGACAAAAATGAGAGAATATTAAAAATAACTTGAAGACATTAAGATGATGACAGAATTTTCATATTTGGGTTAATTATCCCTTTAACAATGACTAATAAACCATGTTAACTGAACTGTTTGTCTGCTAATTAAATGGGTTGGTTCACCAATGTCCTCACGTCCATGTTATGTCCAAACCCGTTTAATTTTAATTTTTCCATAGACTAAATGGACAATGAAAGAAAACTTCGGCCTTTTTATTAAATTTTTGGAGTTTGGCACCGTTTACTATAACTGTGTAGTAAGATGTTCTGCTTTTAAACAAACACACAAAACCTTTATATTAATTAGTCAGAAGAACAGAGTACAAAAAAGTGAAATTATATATTTTTCTTGTATGAAACAAGACTTTTCTTGTAGTTATACTGCCATCTAGTGATGGGACAGCGAGATGATCTCGGAGTATGCACAGCTAGAATACAAAGTGATGGGATATAATCACTGGACTCACAAACGATTTTCACATTCTCAATGAAACCTGCCATGATTTTCAGTTAAAATATATAAAATTTAGGGACAAATTCTCGTTCTGTTTGTCTTTGGAGTGCTTTGGTTGATCACATTATTGGTAATGTGCCAGTGGTGCTTACAAGAGTATAATTGAATAATTTAATTTTACAGTAAAATGTTTCACAGATGTGAAAAGAGCGTTGTGTGAAGCCAAATATCAAAAGAGCTTTTCAGATGTCTCAAATATAAAAAACAAGTGGCTGTCAACAATATAATTCTTGCATGTAATAAAACGTAAAGGCTGAACAAATGACCTATTCCACTCACAAAACCTCTTAAACGCTGCCATTCAGAAATAAATCTGATCTGATTAGCCTAAATATGATATTCTACTGCTAATTAAATTAATTGCAACGGGAACATTAAAATAAATACTACAGAGTTCCTGATTGTCACTTGCAGTTAAGGCACAGCAAGTCTTGTCATCACCACAAATTCAGACACACCGTACATAAACAGACAAATCCATCTCTGCAAACTAAGACACGACTTACACAATACACCAAAGTAAAACACTGCGATTTATCTTTGGTACGTGTGTTTAGGGAAGTTCTAAAAGACAACAATGCTATTACATTAAATTACATAGCAGGATTCCACCGTTCATGGCACATTAAATAACAAACACAGAATTTGATGATATAAGGAAATTAATGATATCCTCAGACATGATATAAACAGTCTATAGTGTTTTTACATAAACCTGAACATTGAACAGGGTTCTGTAATTCAGGAGTTCAGTGCACAGCATTATTTGGCTGGCTGTTATTTTGAGGTAAAAGGTATTTGCCAACTTTGTCCATATAAGCAGATTTCTTAATTTCTAGGGCATCTTTGTGATTCCAAAGCTCTGTGTGTGTACACACATATACAGAGTAGACAGGACATGCTCTACACACTCAGAGAAATGTGGCATTATAGAATGAAAAACAAGACTCATTTAAATAGTGAAGTAAACCAATCCACTGCCTCAACACCTGATAAAAACCATGAACTAATCTCATGGCTTTCATGGCCAGAAAGTATTTGGACACTAATGAATGCAACGGCATCAGTAAAAAGTATATGAGAACAAATTTTTTTTATTTTTTAATACAGTATTAGTACACTTCACAGAGAGAAGTTTGCAATATTTTAAATAAAACTTCAAACATGACCTTGAGACTATGATAAGGATATTACTTGTTTGCAGATGCCACTTTACTTTCGTGGAGCCACTGTATGTAGCTTCTATGCACATGTAATTTGTAGTACTTGCCATGAACACAAACATAAAAATCTGATTATTTATATTGCTTTCAGATACTGTAAAGTAGTCATATATGAATGCTTGTTCTGTAAGTGAGGAAATAATAAGCAGCTACATCTGCACTCAGTGCTTCTTTAATTATTTCTAAGGGCAGAAACAGGCTCTGAATGGCATATGTTTCTTGTCATTGTTTGTGAACTATTAGTGGCTTGAAACGTGGCTACAATGAGGCCACAGTCTTAAACCAATATCTCTCTGTCTGGAAGTTATAGGGCGAGAGGCTGAGATCATAAAATGCCTGTTGCTTTTTTGAAAAGTAAAAACATTAATAATAATATGGCTTTAAATAAACAAAAGTTCAAATAACAAAAGTAAATTATCTTCAGTGGCTTTTAAACATCTGCACTGTCCGCTTTAAGTATTGGATGATCTGTAGTCTCAGCTCATTAATCTGGTAGTTTGAGTTTTTTCTTCTACACCAGCCTGTCAACAAGCACCACGAAGACCCCAGACAGGACAAGGCAGAGGCCAGACAAGTAGAAACTAACACTGAAGTCATGAGTCCAGTCCACCAGCCAGCCTGTGACACAGATACACAAAAGGAACATGAGACAGGTGACACAGAGAGCCTTTGGGATAAAGACAAAACCTGCTGTTAGCGGTGTGTGTATCCTCCCTACTGACACACCATCATTAAAAATTGAGCCATACTCAGTTTAGCAGTTTATACTCACTCAAATCAAGTCTTAAAGGGGTCATATCATGAGAAATCAAATATGCTTAGTCTTTTGGGAATAAAAGAACTCAATATAATATAAAAAATAACTCATAATAAATGGTTGTTTTAAAAGCTGCAAAAAACGCTTAGCTAAGTTTCGCAACATTAGATCCTTCATGACGATAGAGATTAATGTGTGTCAACATGCACACCTACATTTACACATCATCACCTACTTGGCCCGGCTCATCATGGTGTAGTAGAAAGAAAAAAGAATGTACCATTTAACTAATTTAACTGTAAAATTGTGTTTGGGTCTAAAAGAGTATGCAGCAAAATGTTCAAACTGACTTCGACATGCACATAACATTCACATTTGTATCAAAAGTTTTTCATAGGTCAAAAAAGCATCTACACATAATGCAAAAATAGAAGTTGCGTAAAAATCAAAGCATGTGTCTTTTTGAACAGTAAAGTGATAAAAATATGAAAGGGGACCCCTATTTAAATAATATTATTCATATAAACCTTAAAAAGGGTAATTTTAGACCAATTTATATGTTATTTTACATATTTATATAGCCTACATATTTTACAAATATGACACTAACAGAAGTGTAACTATTTGCTATAACAATGATTCATTTTAATGATGATTTTTGTTCAATTTTGCCATGCATCTTGAAATTTGCTCACTATATATATATACTGTATATACATATATATATATAAATTCCGCTTTTCATTGTCATACTGATGCATCACAATGCATTAATGAATTTTTACACATCTAGTAAATAAATTATAAATAATAAAAATAAATAAATGCTGGTTAAATTATTAAGGGTTAGCTCACCAAAAACTAAAAGCGAAATTCTGGCATGATTTATTCACCCTCATGTCATTCCAACTCTTTTTTCTTTGTTCTGTAGGTATGACTTTCTATATCTTCTTTTATGTTCCAGAGAAGAAAGTCAGTCTTTCAGGTTCGGAATGACATGAGGGTGAATAAATGATGACAGAATCTACATTTTTGGGTGAACTATCCCTTTTAAGACAAATATTGTTGAATGTTTTTAAACAGAAAGTAAGGCCAGTTCTAGACGATAACTATAACAATAACTATAAAGCTTTAATACTCATTCTAATTCCATGACAATAGGAAAGTCCACATCACAGCTATAATGATGGATACAGATATTGCTGAAATCACTCACAGAACACTTTGTTTCAACTGATGAATTATAAAAACACTGACAGACATTCAAAATCCACCTGACTTTAAAGAGCTTAAGCATTTAAAGGGGTCATGACATGTTTTTTATTTTATTTTATTTTATTTTATTTTATTTTATGATGTTCCCCGAGGAGTAATTATAATATTACTAAAGTTTTTGGATGAAAAACATTCAAAATTGAGTGATTTATGACGTTTTTCCACCCTGTTTCTCATCCTCTGACTGAAACAGTTGGTTTTGGGGTGTTTTCCCTTTAAGAGGTCAGTGTAACCGTCGACTTTTATGATTGGCTAACATCCATTACCACCATTACTGTTTTAAAAATAGTTTTTACTTGAAATAGGTTACTTACAGTTTGCGGCATCGTTGTGTCCAGAACAGTTGTTGAACAATAAAAACATTTCTTATTATTATCAGTGATGAAACCAACTTAATTTTTTGTGGAAATCACAATGCATTTATTCACAATGCTGAATAAAAGTATGAAATTCTTTGAAAAAAGTTAAATTCTTTGGGGGAAAAATATAATAATCCAACATATTAAAATAATGTTTTAAATAAGTCTGTTTGTCAATTTGAAAAGATTATTTTAAAATAATAATTTGATCGTTTATTTCCTCATTTTATTTTTGAAGTGACACTCACATACTTTATGTCCTCCATACTGTAGAAAACTCATTTTTTAAAATACTGTACAATACAGCTTGTTTCTGGATTAGATTAAATAGACTAGTCCTCCCATTGGTGAGGTAAAGTGATGCTGTGTTTAGAATAGCATACTACCCTACTACATAAAGACTGCACGTCAAATTGAATACATTTATATATGGCAGTGCATACAACAGTGCACAGCATTCATTAAATAAAAAATATTAAAAGCCAAAACAGCATATTGTGAAACAATGTATTAAAGAACAACATAATA